CAATGTTTATTTACATATTTTACTATATTTAATGTATATTTATTATTTTCTTTCATATATTTATGCAGACCAACCATCTATACACCACAAATAATAGGTAATAATACAGTTATGGAACATTTCAAAATAAATTATTGAGTGTTGCGCTTTTTGCTAACAAGACGTGTTATTAACAAAACGTTGTCTTAAACAATGCATTAAGGCAGTGTATTTTTTATTAAAAAAATATCACAACAGTATAAACAAAACATTCGATGTTATAAACCAACGGTGCAAGCGTACGACATTGGCTATATCTGGGCCACCGCCCACCTCCATTAGCAATAGTTCACCGACATCGTCTAGACGTTAAGTACGAACCTCCGGCAGATCTGTATCCGAGGTCTCATCTAGCTTTATCGCTTCATCTGATGCTTTTGAAACCATTAAAAATTTGGTCACCATCAAACAATTTCAGAAAGGATTCTAATGGAATGCGGAAGTACAAGCTTCACGATTTTATTACAAAACTAGCGACCCGATCTATCAAACCGATCTATTAATGTCACGTTAATTAAATTTAAGATAATCATCAAAGACTTTATTTTCGATTTGTTTTATCAATTTTCAAATTTATTTTATTCATTTGTCAAAAAACGACTTGTAAGTTTTTCTCTCTGTCTATGTTCATTAGTCAATCGGTTCAGCTATTCCAAAGGTTAGCCCCGACGGACCGATATAAATTTTAAAAATTATTATTAATATCTTAATGACATACATATTGCATAACCCCCTCAGTTCAATAATAGTCAGTTAATTCGATATTACAGACAGTATATGTACAACCATCCTCGTTTACAGCTGGCGTAATATACGTGGAAGAGTCATGCTGCAGCTATATTATGGTTGTTGCACTAATTGTTAGGCTAGACCGGAGAAGGACCACGCTCTTACAGAATATCAGCGTAAAATAGCAGCTTTATGCTGCTGTGTTTAGTATGGTGAGCATAGAGAACCGGACACCATTTTACTGGATACGAGGCATGTCATCTTATTTAGATAAATGTAGATGTCTATGGGCCACAGCACCCACTTACCATCAGGTGGACTGTGTGCTCGTTTCGGCAGCAGCGTCAAGGGAACGACTTATCTGGTACTGCGATTGTGAATCCACCTGATGCATATTCATTGAACAAATCTTCTATACATCTGTTTTGTTTTTAGAACGATATTGAGATATACATATGATCACATTCATGGAGTCCAAAACATATGTAATGCAATTATTAAAAAGGCGACCTAGCTTGTAAACATATTATTATTATACAAAACAAAACTGTTTAATGTCACTAATCAAAATTGACATAGTTCTGAAAATTGTTAGCAGTGAAGGTAAAAGTCGATAAAATAGTTCAAAGGTGACAAGCCTGATATTTCTCGTATCTTCCTAATTCATTATCGATGTATCGAACTGTGTACAAATCGATACAAAACTAGAATCGCTGCACGGGACATTGCAACAGCGAAGACTACTAATTAGTCATCTGAATCGCCAATAATACGCAATAAATCGTTATAAAGTGGACTGTGACAACATAACATTAAGGTCCTCTTCAAATTGCATGAATGTATGTATGAATGCCGCGGTGTATGTATGACATGGTTGACAAGTCACGTTCGCTGCGAGTCGATTTGTAGAATGCTTTATTGCGACTTTAAACACTTTTTGTGTACAGCTTTGTAATGATTGATCTTAACTTCGTTTTTATCGATTTTTACAATATAAAATGTTATCAATATCATACATAAATCGATTATTTTATTTGTAAATTCTTTACTTATCTCGGATTTGTAAGGGTTGTATGCTTATAAAACACAATTTTATTTTCTAGGGGTATGATTCCTTTTTGCCTAAGAATATGTATGGATAGGTACCAGCCTCGTTCCTATCTCTTCGTCAAATCCTATACGCCGAATTTTCCGATAACGAACAGTTGAGTTTTCGAACCACTATTCTTTTATATATTAAGCCGATTTTTTGTATATTGCATTTTACGCGATTTATTTCAAGGTCGGTTTTTTCAAATTTGGAAATTCCATACCTAAGGTCGGCAAAATATAGAATGAAGATTTTAATGTAATTATTTAGACGACATTGACATTGTTAATAAAATAAAAGACTAAAATAGTGTCTTAGCATCCAACTTCAGAATGTCAAATTATCGTAATTAAGTCGGTTATTATTATTATTAATTTTTACACATAAACCTTAACAATAATGATTATAAAATTTACATAAACAATTTATAATAATCCATAAAGTTCATGTCGCGACGATAATATGCCTTTGCCCGTTTTATCTCGACAGACATCCCAGCGAACAGTATTAATTTTAATTTAGTTATCTACATCTGAGGGAAAATAATAATGAATGCCTAACAGAACAGTAGAACTTGGACCCTGTCTGTACGCCGTCTACAAGTTCATTCTCACCTCCTTATTGGGATACGTCCAAAAACAGCTAACGATTTTAATGAGCACCACGAATGTGGAAAACAAAGGATTCTGCGCCACCGATGCCATTATTATATCCTTCTTTGTAAGCTTTTCGGTGGGAAGCAAATGCATAGTGATTAGTGACATGTAGTGAGAATTATTTTTAAATGTAGAGTGAGATTTAGTATATTTCGGTGAATATTTTTGACAAGGAAACAAAAACCTCCAAATGTTTAGGTTCGAGACTTACTAAACTACCAAAGGTAATTCATATAATACAACAAGGTTTGATTTAATTTTTTATTTTTATTATATTAAGCAAAGAGCCTTAAAAAGGATAATTTTAAAAACAATTAAAGGGGAAACAATTCCCTACAAAATAGATTGGACCTATAAAATGAATTCGGCATTTTGTATATCAATTCGCACACACGATACATTAACAATGTATTGTTAATGCAGGCTTTCGAATTTTTTATACATATTATTGAATTAAGGAGCGCTCACTCAGTCAGCAAGCAACAGTTGGTATTACAAGGCAAAATGTAATTTAATTCTTGACAAATAAAGATCAAAATTATTCTCAAGTTAGAAGCACATCGAAGGGTTGATACACATCTGTCCAACAATACGTAGTGGATCGACTTAATTCGTTACGAACCGGAATAATAAGGGGCGATATGGCCGTCCGATAGAAGCAACATGTGGGCTATCTATAGGGCACTATACAATATATATATTGAGCACTAACGAAGTACGAATTTCTATTATAAAATAATAGCACATTTGTGGATTAGATGGCGTTCGATTTTTTAAGAGGGGACAAACGAACATGCGGTTCACCTGGTAAGCGACTACCGCCACCCACGAACAACTGCGACACCAAAGGAATCGAAGATGTCTCCTTAGACCACCGCTCGACACTTAAATAGAGGATAAGCGACCCGATCGGGAAGAAAACTCTACCAACACATAAAAGTTTCAGCCGCTTAGAATAGTCCAGTCCACCTTCTATACTTATAGGCCGCACTGGTATTTCCAGGACAGGGAAGTTGATGTCTGCTGAGGGGAAGCCCGGGTAAAGGGGATATCCCCAAGGCCCGTTACTAGAAGAAGGGAACAAGAAGGGAAGGGAAGCTTGGTAGATGAGGATATACACAGGGGAATCGCGGGTACGTTGCCGGCCTTTTATAAACGAGTAGGCTCTTTTCTTGAAGGACCCTTGATCTACATTTATCTTCTATTGCCACGTTTTCTATTGGTGATTGCAGCTTAATTCATATGAGTATTATGTGATATATAATATTTTAAAATAATTCTTTACACTCATGACGTTACAATATGTGTGTGTGACAGTTCAGTCTAAAAATACTTCAAGAACATTCTACGTGATAGAGCCACGCTGTAGCTATATTATATGGTTGTAGCACGAATGGGTCGGTTCGACCAGCGTAGGACCACGCTCTCACAGAATACCAGCGTAAAATAGCAGCTTAATGCTGCTGTGTTTCGTGGTGAGTGTAGAGAACCGGTGACCCACCTACTGAAAACGAGGCATTCCATCTCAGTCTTCAGGGGTGACAACACATCTGCATTTTGATTCTTAATTGAGGATAAATGTAGATGTCTATGGGCCACACCATCTACTTACCATCAGGTGGACTTTGTGCTCGTTTGTCACACTTATTCTATATTTTAAAAAAATAACAAATCTGTTTTATCTGTAAATGGCTTGGTAACGCAATGGCTAAACGTTTGAGGCGGCGTTCGATTCAATTCCCGATCGAAAAATGAATAAATATGGCAGTATTACGTTACTAAAGATGCCTTAATATAGATTACGTTTAGAGATATTATAAAAGTTAGGCCATGTCTCTTCCTTAAATGTTACACCTTAACGCCGATGGTATATTGAGCAGACTTATTGGCTTAATGCCTTGTGGCATTCTCTGCCAGTCAACCCTAGGTCATAATTAACGTCGAAAACTTAGCATATAAAAATACTATTTTATAATCACTATCTCTCTTTTTTTAAGTCTTTAAATTAAATGGGAAACTCCTAAGTACTACAAGCGCTAATGGTTCGCCGTAAAATGCAAAAAGTCCCGGGTTCGATCTTCGCCGGCATCAATGAACTTGTTAATTGCAATGTTATCCGCCGATTTACCACGTGTTCGGCGGTGAGGGTAACATTATGTGGAAGCCTGCATGTCTGAGAAATTAAACAAATAATAATTCGAAGATGTGTATGTGTAGTCGAAGAGGAGACTATTAAGTGTACTCAGTAAAGTCTCCTCCTTGTAATTCATTACGTGTAACTCCTTAATCGCTTACATATTCATTTATTTAAAACAGTGTCATAAAATCCAAATGTAATTAAGGATTCGTTTCGAGCCTGGCGCTGTAAGTCAACATATTCGTGAGTGAGAAAAATTAAAAACAAATCAATTAAGCGGACAAACGGGCCCGGGCGTTAGTTATACGGTAGCATTGTTAAGGAGGCTACGAACAAAGATTTCACTTACTTGCAGAAGTACTCCCCCCTCGGCGTCGATAGGCAGGTTCCGCCGTTCTTGCAGGGCGACGGCGAGCACGACACGAAGCCTGCAACAGAAGTCAATGCATTAGCGAACGCTACACAAAGGCTACACGAATCTATATTTAATGCCAGTAGGCGAATACATAAATTGTTGTAAAAAAAAAAAATTACAAACGAAATAAATGCTGTCTGTAGCTTAACTTTTACAGTATACTAGAAGTTCCAAAATACGTATTTGACGTGGTAGAGCCATGCTGCAGCTGTATTAGTAGTATAGTTGTAGCACGAATGAGTCGACTCGACCGAGGAAGGACCATGCTCTCACAGAATACCAGCGTAAATTATCAGCTTAACACTGCTGTGTTTCGTATGGTGAGTGTAGAAAACTGGAGACCCTTTTTACTGGAAAAGAGTTCATTCCATCTTAGTCATCACGGGTGACAACGCATCTGTATTTTGATTCGCAGACGAGGATAGATGTAGATGTCTATGGGCCACAGCAACCACTTATCGTCAGATGGACTGTGTGCTCGTTTGTCAGCCTACCCTATAAAAAAAAAAACGTATAAGCGGCGGCGCGGTGGCGCACCTGCGCAGCGTACACTTATTTATTTATTTATTAGGATTACCAACCGAAATTACAACAGTAATACAAAGATTATTTTCTTAACAAATTCAACACATTATAATTGTATTTCTTTTTATGGGTAATCACAACATGCATTGATTATTTTTAAGGAATAAAAACTGAATTACATCATTGAATAAATACAAATTATTAAAAAGAAATATAATTATTTGACAATATTAAAAATATTCATTGTCAAGTCTCGTAGAGATGAAGCCATGACAGGTCAAGATGTGCGTAATACCAAATGTGCATAGCAATAACACTTGTTATAATAAAATTAATAATTTAAAAAAAATGGTTTGTGTTTTCATGTATTGTTACCGTTACCGTTACAGAAAGTCCAAAGCTAAACATAGGGATAGTAGTTAGTTAGTAGTTATAGTCGCTGTTGCCCATATCCTGATTTGTTTCCCTCTGTCTCCTCTTACCACACCCACGGAATGGTATGGGATAGTGGATATTCTTACACCACTTCTTATGCCAATACACGGTGTTGTGTATTGGCTGCGTATTGATTTCAATCCATTTTTTTTAAACAGTCATTTACAAAATATCTTGATATATTAAACATAATGCGTACTTTATGCTATGGAACTTTAAAAACCATTAATAATACACAGAGTCATAATAAATTGAGTCAAAGTCAAACAAGTAGAATGGTGTGCTTATGATATTTACATTTTTATTTTGTGGGTAAACAAAACATAAACTGTACCGCCGGGTCTCGTTAGCGAGTTACACATATTAATCAATGCGTAATCGCTACTTAAATCTAAATGACATCGATCTGACCGAACGGGGGACCACCCAAATTGACAGAACTTTTGGCTAAAGATGTTAAAAATTAATTAGCCGAGATGCTCGTAAAAATTGCCTGCACTATCCCCGTCACCACTAAACCCACCACCAATTTTAAGCGGGGACAGTTCACGCAATTGAGGGAGGGCTATGTTGAGTGTACTATGCCGATTTTAGCGGATTAATTTATAACATTTTTAATTTAATAGATTTCCTCACCTTAAGTCCTGATTCTATTAAGAACTTTGAAGAGAAAAAAAATTATGTTTCTATCTATTATATATAACGCTTGAAATACCTTTAAAGGAGCAATTCTTGTATTTATATATATATATATATATATATATATATCTTATAATATGAAATTTAGTATGCAGGGGGTTTCGGGGGCGATAAATCGATCTAGGTAGGATTAATTTGTAGAAAATTTCGATTTATCCGTGTTTTCAGGCAGTGAGAAACTGCTACAATATCAATAGAATACGAAGGTAAATTTCACCACTATCTACAAGGTAATATGGCTCAGGTGGGAAATCCAGAAGACCACGGTTCGAATCCAGATGTCTCCAGTACCGATTGTTTTTTTCCCCTTTTTTTTCAAGTTCCTTCTTTTGTGAGAAAAACTATTATTGGGAACCCTTTATCAACGCATCTAATTTGTATCTAAGTATATTTAAAAAAAACACGAAAAAATGACAGAGCTTTAAAAAAAGCATACAGTAGATTAAAGAAAGAAGAAAATATTACATTAGTAAAGAAACCGACATTACGCAAATATTTTTATTCTATGGGCGATGTTTCGGTACAAAGATAAAAGTCAAATTAATAACTCTTTATCGATAATAATCAACTTAAACGTAAACTGAAAAATATGACTCTTCCTGACGTCTATTGGCGAGTAATAATATTTTTTTTTATTTAAATATAATTTCCAAAAAAAAAACCGATCAAAGCTCGGTCATCCAGGTATATATATAACACTTAAAATTATATCATAAAGTAAACAAGCGTGTGAAAAACTAACGCAAATTTTGGACTTTTTGATAAGTGTAAGTTATTTAAATACGTAGTTTAAATATTGCCGAAATGTTTGTTAGCTTTGATAACTTTGATTGTGATTGATTGCAAACCAAAAATATAGAATACTTCACAATTTTTTCAAGTTTTTTTTTTCATTTATTTTATTAAACTTATCAAAAAATAAACACTACAATGAACGTCTATTACTGATGTTCCAAAATGACACGATACAAAATAACATAGGTCTATTTACAAATTAATAATGAATTGTTGGCGAAGTGGATAGTAGGACTTCTTTTCTGCCGACTTCCAAAAAGGAGACGGTACTCAATTCGACTGTATGTTTGTTTTATGTGTTACCTCATAACTTTTTACTGGGTGAACCGATTTCGATGATTATTTTTTTGTTTGAAAGCTGGTACTTCTCGTGTGGTCCCATATGAATTTGATATGAAGGTAAGACCAATAGTTTTTTTGAGTTATACTTAATAGCTTATATTGAAGTCGGCTGTACAAAAATTTTAAATTTTAATTATTTATCTTCCTAGGTGTCCGTTTGAACAAGGGTAGTAGTACTATTACTACTACACAAACTCAGACGGACAGCTAGGGTAGTAGAAGGGTGGTATCCTCTAACATATTTCTGTTTTCAAATAGTACATGCATTGCTGTATTCCCATCTGAAGGGTAAAGAGAGCCAATAATAAGGCGTGAGATATTCAATCTTAGTTCTCATTGGTGACAACGCATGTCTAGCCTTCTTTGTTTGATGTTGGCTGCAAATATTCATTCATAAACTGCAGTAGCCACTTACCATCCGCTGGACTGTAAGTTCGTTGTCACTTTAGTTTTATAAAAAAAAACATCATAGCGTTGTGTAGTAATAAGGACGTACCATTTCTTATATCTCATCGATGTAGCACAATTACATATGTAAAAATAAATTACTGGTTTTTGGTGCACGCAATTCTCCTTCGATCGAATATGACGTCTCAAATTGAGGGTTAGTTGGCGGAGGAGCGACAGATCAGCCACTGCATGATAAATTCGGGTAACAGTAGCACAAGTGGAGATGGAGGACGTTGTAAGAAAGTGCGCCTTGTATACGACACGCTTTATCTGCGAAAAAACAGAGTAGAAGCCCCAAGCTCCTACTCTATTTTTTCTTCACCGCTAAAGTGTTCCAAAGTGTTCCCGGGGCCCAGCCTAGTAAGTAGCGAGTCCCATATAACCTGTCCTTGGTATCGCAAATCGGATATACGTAGACATTTCCCCCATAAAAAAAAACATATAGAGGTAGGTTTCCATTTTCATATTTACAACCGTCTTTAACCCTTACATACATATTTCTGTTAAATCAAGTTCTTTTTTTTTTAACCACTTGTCGATTTCATAACGGAATTTAATATTACATCAAATCTAAACATCCAGTTAAATGAAACATCAGTCATTGCGCAGTATGAGGTGTTATCATTGTATAAGTAAATATTCTTACTGTCACCGGTGCCGGTGATAGCGGCGTGGGAACAAGGAATTTGGACAACTACAGACGGCAAAGGTTTAATGACACGTCTGCATTACGTTTCGGGGTCATTTCAGACGATAATGTTGTCAGTGACTTGGACATTTATTTATTCCTTACAAACAAATATTTCGTACCTACCAATATATAAGGGACCCTCACGTACCTTATATATTGGTAGGTAATACAAAAATCGACTAAAATATTTACAATAATATCTTTATTATTTGATAGACTGATCAAGAGCTATTGTATCACAGAGCGTTCTATGCAAACGACGCTGTAGTTTTTGAGTTGTAAGAAAGTGACCATTTTAACCAGATGACCATATTACCCTCACGTACTATAGTTAGTTTTTTTTTTTAAGTTGATTTTTCGAAGTGTTGCTAATTATTGCGAAGGCTTGTTTGTTATTGTTTTCTATATTAGTTATAGTATACGACTTTGTGTTTTTGTCTCTGTTCTCTTCCTAATTTTGATTTTATAGAGCGATAAAGCTTAAGGTGATCATATTACCCTCACGAACTTACTATAATATCAACTGTCAAAATGGCGTCGATAAAGCAGCGCCCTTTTGACCCTTTATTATTTGAATGACTGATGAAGAGCTATCGTATCACAAAGCCATCTATGCAAATTAGGCTGTAGTGTTTGAGTTATAAGAAAGTGACCATATTAACCGGATGACCATATTAACCTCATGTACCTTAGATACAGTTTACCGTGTACCATGGTTAGTTGCGGAATACCCCATGTCATGGTTAGTGGCAGAATACCCCATATCATAACTGTCGACAAATCAGGAGATGGCCAACAGCGTCTTCCTAATAACGACTCAAGCGTGACAACTATGGCAAATATCCCCCCTATGAGGCAATCTATGGGGGAGGCCTTTGTTCATCAGTGAACATAATTAGGTAAATATTTCGTAAGCGATTTTGAATACACTTAATGATTAATAATCTCCCCTGCATGAACACACAGACGAGCTGAAGATGACCGCAATGGTGACGAAGATGAAAGGTGACCACTATATTCTACAGGTGGTAACCTTTATCTATTCTCCATTCCCTCTTCATCTATATTTAGGTGTT